GGAAGGGGGGGGGGTGATTCAAAGATGTCTTTAGTTTCGAACTGGCACGAGTCTTTGCACAAGAAGTGAACAGTTTATTGCACCCCCCCCCCTCCTCTGCGCTTATGAAATTGAGAATCAGCGAAGGGCTTGTGCGTGTAGAGTACAGCCATGAATCGAGCGAACGATAGGGCATGTGCCGACGCGGATTGCGGCGCAACCAGGGCCCCCTTTTTCCTCCCATGATGCAATCGAGCCTGATATAGTTGGTGGGAAATCTACCCTGGCTGCGCTCCAAGCTTCGTCGCCCTATCCTTTGTAGGGAGCATGACTGTATATGCGGGGACAAAGGATTCGGTTTTGGGCCAGGAAATAGCTGAGTGTATCTATAACCAAGCAAATACTAAAAGCACCGCTACTGAGTCTATGAATTACCTTTTGCATCAGGATCGTATTCGGACCACAATCGGACAAATTCTTCCAGATGGTGCGGACCGAGGATCGACCAGTCTCGTGTCAGATAATCAAAGTTATCCATGATGACAGCCACAAACAGATTGATAACCTGAATTGAATGGCTCCCTTCGAAAGGCTGTGACTTGATCGTACTCCTGACTCCGCCCACACGATTAGTGTGGACGGCGTCTTGAAAAAAAATAACGATTGCAGCGGAACTCACCAGAAATGAGCAAAGCATGAAGAATGAGATGAAATACGGATAGGCAAAATTCACTCCGCAACGTGCTTCGTGGTCCCGTTTGTAATCATCTGACAACGGATCACAGCGCACTTCTTCACGATCCGAACACGACAACATTATCTGTTGCCACGCTTCACCTGTCGCTGACCTAAAACATGCTAGGAGTTAGCCAGGGGCACTAAGCCACAGCAGGGATGGGGAGGGGACCAATAACTGAGAAGATTTGATGAAGAAAGTGAACCTGAAGGGAACTTGAGAATTCTAGGTACCAGTGGACTCGCAGCACTGGTACATCTCTATGCAATGCAGAATTTTTCCAGTTCACCTGTTTTTCGACGCAATTCCACCATTTTCAAATCCTTTTAGGACACGGGAATGAGTTTAACAGTATTGCATACCACCAGAAGAAAATTTGAGGAGTGAGACGAATTTTTCAAGGCCTCTTCAGCACCGCCATTCATAGACCACCTTCCCTGGGATCTCATTCCTTGAAAGACTTTACGACGTGAGCAGGTCAGAAGATCCGAGTCGTGGTGACATGGCCTTGAAAGCGGCGCTGTGTGGACGGCAATTCGTATTCGGTTCTGAGTAGCTTGACGCGAAACGTACATCGTAAGCCTCTACTACCCTCGTCATCCGGGCAGTTGATTAGGGCGGTCGTCAACGGGCCGCAGCGCGTGCCAGGAACTATTTGCTTTTTCTAGGCGGAAG